TACACTTTTATAGCTACATATTGCCATTAAGCTATTGAGTCTATTACTAGTCAATCAAGGATTTTCATTTTGTTTCATGAGCTCCTTGGATAAACTCTTCGGAAATGTCAAGAGAGATGGAGTATATGGCACCTTTTCACAGATGGTGTTCATCATGGATTTTAGTTAATGGATAAAGTTTCAGTTTTCCATGGTTGACTTCTGGTGCTAACAAAAGTATTCTAAGGGCCCTTGCTCTTCCAAAGGCTAGGGGATAGTAAGGAAATGAAGCCCATAACACCCAAATACCCTCTATTCTTAATGAGGTAAGTAACCGGGGACATGATGAAGAGTTTCACTGGGTCCATTTTACTAAGGAATGAAATATTTCTTGAAGAAGACCAGTTTGACTTTTTCCAACAGCTCCAAAACTATGCATTTATCCTGCTTTCCCCACTCCCAAGAACAACAACCAACAATGAATACTCAACAGGAAGAGTTAAACTGTCACATGAAGAATTATGTATTCAACTGGCTCATCATAGATGCTAATTGTGTATTTTTCCCTTTTATCTGTTCCAAAGTAGCCTATACCTTTCCCATGCATTCCTACATACATTCGTACATTTATTCAACACACATTTACTTCCTACTTATACACGAGATTCTGTGCTAGATGGTGAGTATAGGGTAATCCAAACATAGTGCTTCCCTCAAGAGAATTTCAACCTAGTGGTGGAGAAAGCTAAGAAATCACTTGATTATTTACCATTCATTGAGGTAAGTGCTGTGGTGGAATGGTGTTGGGGGTGAGGACAGGATTCTGGGGAAGGCAGTGGAAGGGCACTTAGATCGTTCCGAGGTGGGTTTAGGGAAGGCGTTTCTAGAGGTAATGGTATTGAAGCTAAGACCAGAAGAACTAATGAGTATAACTCAGGTACAGGGGGAGACAAGGAAGGGCATGACAGAAACAGAGAACAGCATGTCCCAGGGCGAGGGAGAAGAGGGATGAGAAGTGAGGCTAGGGTGTGAACAAGAGCCTCGCAAGAGCCTGTAAGCTGTGGAGGAGCTGGAGCTCTTTTCCTGAGGGCAGTGGGGAGCCTCTGAGGAACTGGAAGCCAGGGAGTCACAGGGGTCTGATGTCACTCCGGCTATGGATTGTGTTCTATGGGAGGCAAGAGTGCAGCAGGAGAGCTGTTAGGAGCCTATTACTCTAGAGAAATAAGGTGGCGCCTGGAAGAAAGAGGAAGTAGAAAATGAAATCTGATTAGATTTGCCTCAGCAGTCATGACATAATATAGTAAAACGAATATAACACAGTTAGCCAAAGGTGAAAGTGTCAGGTCAGCAGTTTGGTAGACACTGAAAAGGAAGTAAAAATGGGCTTCAGTGAATTGCTAAATGAGTCCACGAGTTCCCAAGTGCAGTGCTGTGGAAAGCCATCCCTCTCCAACTCGATATTAGTTTTCCTGGGATTTCAGTTATGACTGCCCAGAGGATTTGTTGTTTAAGGCTTTGCGGTGGGCACCTCGTGTATCTGATGGCTACAGGGATATGAACCTTTACACATGGAATCACCTGGTAAACGTGTCTGGAGTTATTTGGACAAATAGTATCCTTGTTCCAATCTTTGTTACAATTTTCTGCAGTTTTCCTTCCATCAGCCTTTAGGGAGTCTTATTCATGGCTTCCTGTCCTTCCAGACCATTCTCAGTGTGTTAGGAAACCAATATAATTGGGCGGAGATGGGGACAGGTAGTGTAGACTTAAAAAAAAATTAGCAGAAATCCATTTTCAATTTGACAATTAAGCAAGCAGGATTGGTCAAACTTTTTTGTAGAAGGGAAAACTAGCAACCAGCCTGTAAGAAATCGGTCACAGTTTAGGGGATATGTTACAAGCAAGATAAATAAAACTGGTCTACAGTATCAGGCCAAACTCTCATTTTTCATCTCTGTTTCACACTCTTCTCTTCCAGCCCAGACTAATCAAAAGAAGCCTCTTCCGCTCACAATTGCTCTGTGTACATTTCCCCCAGATCTGGTATTCACATGAACAATGTGGTTTATTTATATTTCAGCACCAAATTGGAAAGATGACATCATTCATTTACAGTCTTTATCCCATGACATGCCTACTCTCCAACACTTCATTTCAGCAGACACATTCAGGACTGCATATAGCATCTTGTTTAGCTTGTACATTCTTTTATGGGATACAGTTCAAAGGTAGGGAACTTTAGGCTTGTCGCTGGTAAGAAAATAATCTCATAAAATCACAGGAGCTTCCCCAAAGGATAAGGACATTATGATGTTTATAATAGCAGAGTTATTATTTGTTCCTTTAGTCTTCATCGTTCATTCTTGGGCGAGTCCCTCCCTTCTTGACTATAGCAGATCTTACAGCTCCCTTCAGGCTCAGAATTCTATTAGAAGAAACAATTCCATATTTATTAGTTCATGAGTTCAAAAGTATAGGCTCCTGACAATACTGGAATTTTAGGTGTGAACACTGAATCTCAGAATCTCGTGTACAAGGGCAGGCTGGAGAAGGGGCGTCTCAGTGCTTGGTCAGCGGTGGCTCCACTGACCTGCTCACTCTCACAAGGCGTAACTTGTTCATTGGGTCTTCTGGCACTCTAAGTGGACAAGTGAAGGATGGAAATGTTATCAGCTACCAAAGGTTGCCTGGGATTTTTAATTTAATTTTAGGTGGATCTGTCCCTCTATTTTTATTGTTTTCATCCATATACATGCATTTTTTTTACATGCACTCTGGGGCCTTTCAAATATTGTACACATTTTAAAAAATGGAGTGAGTAAACCATGAGACATCCTCTGGCAGGTAGAATTAGGATGTGAGTCATTTCCAAAACTTAAGAGAACTGAAGCATTTATGAGAAAAGTATTTCTACCTGTTTAGTCATTTGCCTTTTTTGCTAGCAGCAAGGCAAAGAGAAAAGCCTAGAGATTGAGAATGGAAGACCCAGAAAATCTCCGTGTTCTATGTCAAGAAAGAGACTCTGGGGGCTGAAATCTATGCCTTAATTTTCTAGCTGCAAATGAGGATAGTAATAATTCTTCCCAAGAAAGTTTTGAGGATAAGCTAGACTATGTGAAAAATACTGTAAGAATATGCTATGTTAGGTCCAGAATTATTATCAGAGTATTACTTATATTACATAATAAAATTCCAACTGGCTGGAGGTTCTGCCAGTCCCTGACTTGCAGCTCTCTTAAAGTGCTGATGGCTCATTGTCATCTCAAGCCACCAGTGAGATTGTTATGGCAACTCATGATGTGTCCTCAACTCTCAGTGACCTTCCCTGACTGAAAACAAATGTGCACCTTGCCTCTAGAATGGCAGCGTCCCTCAAAATCACGGCCCCTTCTTTCTTTCAGCCACTCATTGCAGCAACATGCTTAGTGTATCAACGTCTGTTAGGCCCTGTGCTAGATCTTGGGGAGAGGCAGGTGAAAAAAACAGCCTCAAGTCTACCGACAGATGAACAAAAAAATCTGTGGTTATCAAGCGATGGTAAGCAGGAGGCACATGTCACCCGGCCTCAAGGGTGGGGTCAGGGAACGGCTGTGAGTTAGCCAGACACAGAAGTTAGAGGTGAGGGAAGGTGGCTGGGAGAGGTATCACAGGCAAAATAAACAACAAGTGTTAAGAAGGAGAGGTTTCGGGCCGGCTCCGTGGCTTAGCGGTTAAGTGTGCGCGCTCTGATGCTGGCGGCCCGGGTTCGGATCCCGGGAGCGCCCCGAGGCACCGCTTCTCCGTCCAACGTGAGGCCGAGTCCCACGTACAGCAACTGGAAGGATGTGAACCTATGACATACGGCTATCTACTGGGGCTTTGGGGGGAAAAAACTGAATAAATAAAATCTTTAAAAAAAAAAAAAAAAAAAGAAGGAGAGGTTTCTTATAGTAAATAACAACAACAATAAGAGTAATGACAACATTTGACTTTTATTGTGAGCCCATTATGTGTCAGGTCCTGAACCGACACTCGAAGTCCATCATATCACTTGCTCCTCACAGCGACCATAGGGAGGAGGCACCATTACTCCCATTTTAGAGTTGAGGAAATTGAGGCTTAGAAATAGTTAATTCTCAAAAGAAAACATAACCAGCAAAGAGGTGGAACAGGACTTGAATCCAGACAGTCTAATCTCCCAACTCATACTTGTAGTCTTTACATTTCCTGGCTTTCTGGGCTGGATAGTTTTATTTCCCTTTTTCCATGGTCTTTACACATTTTTCTAGATTCTGTGACCCTGTTAGGTCAGTTCATTACTGGTCTGTTTCTAGTCCTGCATAATAAAGCAATACAATTCTATGGCCCTTGGGGTTTAACCGTGACATCTAGGTGCCTCATGTGACAAACATAATGGGACGTGAATTAGAGTGGTCAGTTCTTCTCCATTGACTTTGCTGCTTTTGCTCAATTTCCTTGAAGAACAATATCAATTAAAATATCCATAGACAACCCTTTCCCTAGAAGTCATCATAGCAACAAACCATCTCCATTGGTGTTTTGCATTTGGCAGCTTTTGAGTGGATTTCTCTGCCTTGTCCCACGAGACCATTGATTGTCTGTAGTTCTGTGTCTCCACCCAGCCCTCTCCCATCTTTTCATCCAGGGCTTCCTTTTCTCGCTTGCTCAAGAGTATAGGATGTGATTGTTGGCAGTTTGTGATTGCAAGCCTACTCTGGATCTCTGTGATTGCTTGATAACATAAAGTACCTTAGGATGTGTTCATTTTTTCCCTTTTAAATCGCATGGGGGAAGTACACTTATGTAGAACCAAGAGCATAGTAGCTTCAAGGGTGTGGCAAAGCCTGTTTCACCAAAGCTAATGGCATGGTGCATTCTTTATTAAGTTTCGATTTGACCAAAAATGAAAACTTCTGGATTAGGAGTGAAGGGAGACCAATAAGTGCTGTAATTATTCCCTGAGTCTCTTTGGCTGGTCCTCTAGCTCTGATGGAATCTTCTCTGGTTTTTGCTCTGCACAGACCCAGAACAGAATGAAGCTGATGGCAGACAACTACGATGAGGACCACCACCATTACCACCACCACCACCATCACCACCACCACCGATCTCCTGGGAGGTCGCAACATTCCAATCACAGGCCTTCTCCCGACCAGGTCAGTTTCATTGCTGCTTACCTCCAGGACCCCTTTTACCCTTTGGATATTTTAAGATAAAATAAATAATCCTCAAGAAATAATAAACAGCATAAAGTGATATGTTCTTTGAACTGAAACTAATAGCTTTGGTATTTATTTCCATCACTCAAGGAATCTAAATGTTTTCTTTTCTCCTTCCTCTTTAAGGTTTTGTCTGTTCTTGTTTATGTTATGCATTTTCTTTCCTCCCCTCCTTTCTTATATCATAGATATGTAGTCTATTGCTGGCTCGGTATCTAATGGTGGGTTACTGTGGAATGTCTGTTTCAGAGTTTTAAGAGAAAGCACTTTGTTTCATGAGCTTGGCAACCAGAGAAGCCTTGAGTTTGCTGAGCACTTTCCTAGAAAATTCCTTAGTGATGCAAATTAACAGTGGGGCAAAACAACCTGAGGAGAAATCAGTTTTGCTTGCATTTCAGCCAATGAAGTCAAGGAGTCTGGTTTATTTGATTTGGACCCTATCTTCTCCCTTGACTAAGTAGAGCAAGTGGGGAGGTGGACTGACAAAAACAAAAACTTCCTGTGGTTTTCAGTGATATTTGCATTCACCCACCAAATGCAAAATCTATTTACAGTGTTTTGTATTAAAACTCTTGGAGGTGAATTTCATGGAAATTATGAAATTAAATGCAAATTAGTAGGATAATATAGTCAATATTAGTAGTATTTCTTCCTTTATTGTTTTATGACTTTTTCTTTTTGGTGATCCTAATGTAACTTATACAATAAATTTCAAGAGAGATGGGGCCATAGACAGTAGAATAGAATCATCTGGATAAGTGTGAATGCCTTTGTTATATATTTGTGGATATGTGAGGGGAGGGCTTATTGGAATTACCTGTGTGAAGAGGGTTTTAATTGTTTGCTGGAGGAAGGAGTGCTTATTGTGCTCCTAAAACTTTTTTTCAGATGGCTCTGTTTTCCTTTCCACCTCATGTCACTAGCATCCCAAAGAAGTTAAGATTCCAAGTCTCCAAGATGTTTTACCAGGAGTACAACTCCAGGGGGAGCCATTTATATAGTACACAACATAAGAAGTGCTCCCTAGGCCTGTGCAGTGAGGTAGCTCCAACCGGGAGGCCCCCTGACCCTTGACCCCAGCTTGGCCCTACCCTTGTACCCAGAAACATTTGCCCTTAGAGACCTCAACACCGTAGAAGGTGTTCACACAGAACATCTTGATTTCTGAAGCCAAGTGCAGAAAGGTATCAGTTCATGTTATTAGCTCTCAAAAATGGTTCTCAATTTGGAGATCAGCAAAGTGGAGAGAGATAGTTAATTTTATGTCATTATCTTGTATGTCATGGTATTGGTTTGATTTGGTTTTATTTATTCAATTCTCATCTCTCACCACCATCACCACCTCCCTGCACTCATCTGCTCTAGTATACCTGGCATCTTGCTAACTAAATCTCCTCATTCTCCTTCATAGTCCTTGTTCTTTGCTACTTGACCTTCTCCAATGAGGGGTGAATGTGAGGTTTTATTGGTGCTAGAAGGCCACCCTGGGCTTTTCCCCAGAGAGACAGGAACAGAGAGTGCTATAGGGGCAAAAAGAAGGATTTGGAGCCAAATTGTGGGAGTGGGTCACACAAGGGCCTGCTGAGATAACAAACTGGCTTATTTTATCACAGAGACACATATGCTAATATGCCCTGCTAGAAACAGGGCACCAGATCAAACTTATCTGCCTTGTGAATGATCTTTCTTACAAATCAAGTCTCTTGCTGCTTTCCAGAGATCTTTAATCACAAACTAGAGTACTTGCCTACTTGGTTGACCCTCCTATGTTTGTCCATTGAACTGGAGGTTTTCATAGGGCAGAAATTATTGCTCCGGTTGGGGGTGGGGCGGTGCCCTTCCCAGAAGAGTTAGCATTCCTTGAGGAGTGTCTGGCTAAGACATGTCATGAGGACCTCTGATACAGCTTTCTCATTGCTACTGTTGGGAGGATGGTGATGGCCTTCCACTTTCACATCCTTCATCTCAGGGACCACTCTAAGCAACCCATGGACATAGAGGTGGATAGCCTCATTCCCTTCTACAGATGAGAAATCCAGGCCCTGAGAGGAAGCTGAACTGATTAGAGTCCTGCTGTTTGTTATTTGCTCATTCAACTAGTACTAATTGGAACACATATTCCATGCCAGGCACTATGCTGGGCTTGGGAAGAGCATGATGGACAAGACAGAACCCCTGCCTTCAAGGAGTTTGCTGTCTAGTCCTAGGACAAAAGTCTAGGTCATCTGATGTCTTATTCAATTCTTTTCTAGATCATGTCAATCAGAACAAGACAGATAAAAGGTAGTTATAACTTAATTATGGGCCCATGACTTGGGAACTTACTCTGCAGTGTGGTTCATTGTAAAAGAGAAATACCCTTGACCAGAGGGATAATTTTGTTGTTTTAAATTTGAATCAGCAAGGGTATAAGGCTCCCTTGCTGCATTCTTTCAATTAGAGAAGAAGGAGAGTTAAGCAAGGAGCCCTGATATGAGTAGGTTAACTCTAGTGATGGAGATGGCTAGAACCCCTGGGCTGGTTGCCCGTTTTGACTAGGTGTTCCAGGTGTAGGACAAGGATGTCCTCCCCTGTACTGGAGATTTGAGATTCATAATCATCAACAACTCATATATCAATATATGCGTTGTTATAAATCTAAGTCCCAGAATGTAACAGTCATTGAAAGGCTGGCAAATCTTTCCCAATTGATTACAAACTCTACACATAATTGTTTAAGCATATATACTAATATGTGTGGAGTGGAGCTGCTTCTTAGAAGAAAGTGACAGCCTTATATCAGTATGTGACAATGTAAGAGTCTGAATAATGGATTGATTTGGATGATATTTAAACTAAATGTCCTTAATATACCCATGTTAACTGGACTGACTTAAAGGGGAGAGGTCTCTTCCAAGGGTTTCCTAATTCCCTTTCCATGAATCTTCCAGCCCTAACTTTCCTGTGGCCCTGAGGGTTGACCAACAATGACTTCTGGAAGAGGGGCTGCAAAATCTTGAGCTTTATTAAGAGATCAGAACACATGAAAATAAAGAAATATAAAAAAATCAATCACTTTGCTACGTTTCCAGAGAAATTCATTTTTCCTTAGGAAATTCAATTTAAGTATTGCCAGGTACTTGCAGAATTAGATTCTTTTTCCATTTCTTCCCTGTCCCTCTCTGCTTCTCTATGATTTTGCTCTCTCCTTGGGAGAAACTGAATCCAAGGGTTATAAGTCTAGACTAACATTTCCCAAAGTAACTTTTAGAACATTAGTCCCATGCGGGAAGTCTTGAAACAAAGATTCAGTGGGCAAAGAATTTTGGGAAAGTGCTGCATATCATAACTCAATCTTGGAGAGCCTTGGTGCAATTAGCAGATCAAAGGATCTAAAAAGTCATTTAAGAAAGAAAGTGCTCCAATTTTATTTAATCCAGCATTTCCCAGACTTATTTGATCATAGAATTGTTTTTTCTTTTCTAGTGACATCTGTGCTCTGAGAAATACTGTTCTCAGAGTATCAGGTGAAGAAAAGGACTACCTAGTTTAAAACATAGCTGATCCACTTTCTAGCAGTGTTTTTCATCCGAATACAGAGTTTTGAGGCAATTTCCCCTATGCTTTGCATAGCAGAAAATGGGAATGCCTCTTTCTCATTTCTTGGGAAACCTTTTTAAAGCCTATAGCATCTGAGAATAGTTATCCCACCAAAGCCCAATAGATCTGAACTAAGGGAGCCATTATAAGGATGAGGACCCAGGAAAGCAAGGATAATCTTAAATACACAACCCCTCAGGGGTTGAAAATGAGTGTGATGAGGGGAAGGGAGGATTTGGAGAACTTGTAAGAGAAGTCAGTGGGGTATGGCAGTCCAACAGCCTAGACTCATACCGGAGAAAGGAGCAGTTAATAGTCGGTGGCCTGTGACCCTCAGGATGGCCATAGCCATTGAATATATCCAAGTAGAACATTCAGCAAGTCCCAGTAATGCCTTAGGAAATCTTTCACACCAAGAAGTGGGCACAAGGGCAGACAACAAATATTTCCCATGACACAAGCTGCCGGTGAGCTTTGTGACACAATGAAGACCAAAGAATAAATGGAACATACTGGCAATGCATTAGTGATTTTATTTTTAGTGAAGTTACCAAGACTGATTTTAGAAAAGCTAAGTGGAAACTCAACTTCTTCTTAATGCCCTCTGTACCTGTTATCATCAGTATCTGTTATTTTCTTTAATTAACATCTTTCCTTGCCTTATCAATGATGTCGTCTTTTTACTTATTTTTCCAGGCATCATATGATTTTTATTGTCCCAGGAAAAGCCATATTTTATTAATCTCCTTTCAATGGCTCCCGGGTATGAACTAACTCCCTGGATAAGAAAAGCACAGCATCAGAGTGAGCTCCACACTCCAGCCAACTCAAAATGCCAGGCCTTGTTCAGGCTGCCCTAGGGCATCCAGGAGTCACAATTCTGTGCCTCGGTCTTGGGTCTTTGAGGACCTGGATCTCACTGCTTTTTTGTGCAAAATGCATTTCCATTTGTTAAAGCATCTGCCACTCTGATTCTAAATATTTGGGAGCCTAAATGGCAAAAACCTAAACATTTTTGGACCAGAAACCTCAGAATATGTGACCACTTTCCAGAACTCACCTCTCCTTTCTTCCCCTCCTTCTTTGAATGGAAATGCTCACTCACAAGAGTTGGAAAGCTCAAGGAATTTTGACTACCTTGAAGACTTTAAGATCCCATTTAAAATTTAAATTTCACATTTTACTTGTGGATATCCTACTTCTAAGGAGGGCTACAGAGTCCAGGAGCATGAAGGCATAATACTTGTTAAATTGATTATGGAAAAATTTGGTTGAATTTTATGTTATATTCATACTCGTTGTTACATATTGCAAAGCACATTCACACCTGTCCACAGTAAGCACTCAGTAAATATTTG